TGTGGATTCTTTTTCTTCATGTATAAAGCCCACCTTCACATTGCAAAGCACTAAATCCTCATTCTAGCCCATTTCTCCATAGAGATCTGTAGAGAAATTCCTTATATACTCAAGTGTTCCTTAGCAAGATAAGGCTGTTTCCATTACAAAAATCACTGACCTAAATCACATTAAAATCCTCTTCTTTTTTTTGTTACGTACTTATGCAAAAGAAGCTGAACATTCTCTGGTGTCTTGTAGGCCTGTTTTGTTGCTGCTTCTGCCTTTCAAAGAAGCATTACAAAACACGGTCTCCAAAATTTTTCCCTTTGCTGTTCAAAGTCTGAATCATGATTAACCTCGCCTTTGAAGTACAAGGCACATTTACAATAAAAGACATGAAGACATTAAAGAAAAGGAAAAATTCTCTTTTTAAGGTGAAAAAGAAAATACTACCATCTCCCTGTGTTATCATCCATTTTTCTGTCAAGTGCTTGCGTTTGTCAAGTACTCTCAAGATTTTGTAGAAATCCAGAAAAGCCATTCAATACTATTTCTGTTTCAATCATGAAGAAAAGTGGGAATATGGAAGTAAACTGATTTGTTTTAGCAAACTGTAGAGATAGATTTAAAACTCAAAGCAGCTGACTAGAGTTATTGGGAAAAATAAATCACCAGAACAGTAAATTTAACAAAACTGGACATTTCCTATGGTTAAGGAGTAATTTCAATTAATTTCTTGCTGGAATAGCCTGACATATTCTTTTAAAACTATCCTATGTCATGGAATCATAGAACAGCACAGATTAGAAGGGACTTCAAAAAATCCAATATTCCTTGGGAAAGGGAGCCTTGATTAGATTATCAAGCACCCTGTCCTATCCCAGCTTGAAAACCTCCACTGAGGGGGGTGACTCTGAGAGTTTGTTGCAGTGAATGATTGATTTTACTGTAATGTTGTCTCTTCCTTATGTTGAAATTATGTCCTGTTTCATCTTTTTTAATTAGTAAATATGCCTTTGCTCATTCCAAGCATGCTTTTCAAAATAAGTTAAAATGCATGTTATTTTAATTAGGGAAAATGTACAAACATTTGAAGTGAAATATAATTACTCAACATTACAAAACAAAGGAGATTTTTCATCCTTATTCAGCAAAAGCAAAAATTTTAAGTCTCAAATTCACAAAAAAGAAGGAAAATTATTTGTCTAATGTTTGTAGCCAGCAGTTGATATGAGTTTAGGGCTCCATACTTTTAAACACTTAGACATGAGTCCACATTTTTTGGTTACAAAAAGGAACAAGAAAGACTTTCAACTGAGGTTTCTGTTTGAAGCAGCTGCATTGTTTGCTTGCATGTATGTTTGCCACATTCCGTGGGCTTGCTGCCATGATGGTCTCTCTTTGGTGAGAAGCAATTTGTTAGAATACTAAGGAGCTTGGAAAAGCTTAATATACTTTTTGGAACACAGAAATGCAAAAGCTTTTGCAATACAGTTTGTGTATTAGTGTTCTGTCACACAAACCCATTCTTTTTACAAGTGGGAAGTCGAGTACAAACCAAATGTTTCAGTCATGAAAAATGACTTGTTTTCCCTTATTAAAGAATGATAGAAAGGCTTGGGTTGGAAGGCAACTTAAAGATCATCTAGTTCCTATACCTTTCACTAGATCAGGTTTCTCAGGGCTGCCTCCAAGGCCTTGAACACTTCCAGGGATGGAGAATCCACAGCTTCTCTGGGCAACCTGCTTCAGTGCCTCACTATCTGAACAGTAAAGAATTTATTCCTTATATCTAATCTAAGCCTACTCTCAGTCTGAAGCCTTTCTCCCTTGTCCTATCACTACATACTGCTGCAAATAGTCTCTCTCCATCTTTCTTGTAGGCTCCATTCAGGAGCTAGAAAGTTACCGCAAAGCCTTCTCTTTCCTAGGATGAACAATCCCAAGTCTCTCAGCCATTCCTCATCTGTATTTGACATGTCCTAGTGCTTCAATTGTATACCAGAATTGAACTTTAGCTGTACTAACATAATCACAAGTATAGCTGCATTTAAACAACAATATAAACTATATTGTTGTTCCTTTTTGCTAAGAAGGAATATGTTTTGAAAACATGTTTTACGGGGTAATGGTTGCAGTATAATTATACATTTGGTAGACACATTTCTTCAGTCAAAACTATAATGTCAGTCACTGACATTCTTTCTGCTAAGGATTTACAGTTGTAAGTCACATCAGGTAAGTGAAGCTGCTCACAGACAGAATGGTTAAATCCTGAAAGAGAAATGCCAAAAGGCTCCTGGATCAACTCAGAACAAACACTTCAAAATTAAAGGATATAAACAATACTGCTAAAGAGTGTTGCCTAAAGTTGCTGTGTTTTCTGTATCAGGACTTGAAAAGTTGATTCCTCAGAAAATAACTATGGTTTACATATCAAAACCAAGAAAAAAATGTCTCAGAATTTCTCCTTGCATAAAGATGCTCAATTGGATATAAAATTACATAAGCATTTTAAAGCAGTTACTACAATACAAAGCATCATTAAAACAAACCACAAAGACTATTTTTAATAATCTAATCATTATCAGAAGAAAGTCAGCTATTTTGAAAAAAATCCAAACCAAACCAAAAACACAAAGGAAAACACATAAGAGAGACATAGATGTCTGAAGATAACTATGTGAGTGAGATGTTGATGCATATAACACATTTCCATGCATATAAAATGAGACTAATACTGTGACTGCATCAACAGCACAGCAACAAGAGCAAATTGCAACTATGTATTCCTTCTGTCATTTCTAGTTTTTCAAAACTTGCCTGAAGCACATGGGTTTGTTTCTAACATACCTTCTGTAGTTAGTGGCTTGCGTATTCCATTTCATTATGGCTGTGAATACTTACTGCTTTTAGAATGTGGTCAATATTTCCTTAAATAGGACATATTCATATGCATAAATACACTCTAAATAAACATCCACCTTCCTACAAGATAGGTCTTGGATTTTTAAAGGTTTTGCTTATAAGAGTGAATTAATTTTTAGTATGTGGAAATGCCTTAGTATTCAGAAGCAAATTAATTTATACAAGAGAACAGGTCTGCTGTTGAGGTTCAGGGAGACTCATGTTTTATCACATGGAAGATCTGAGTATTTTACACTTGTGAAGATGTCTTCCCAGTTCCTGTTGTTCATATGTTCTATTTGTAAAACAAACTATCTGAGTAGGTACTGCCATTTTTTGGCAGTAATTAGGATAGAATAAGAACATTTAATAGACCACCCTATCCAGAGAATTTAATTAGACCATCACTCAAACCTTTTTGCAAGGTCCCTCCAGTGGAGGTAAAACATTAGGGTTATGACCTGCTTTTTAAAGTCAAACTTTTGTACAAGAATGAACTAACTTACAAGGTCAGTTCAAAGTCAAGGCAAATGCTGAACATATGGGATACATAGATACATGTCTTTCAAGAAAGATGTATTATTCTGGTACAAACACTCATAAGGAAGAAAGAAGTTTTTCAGTGCTACAGGATTAAATATTTTAGATGCGTATCAGTGTTATGATAATTTGGAACTTAAAATATATGTATGGCTCTGGCACATTTCTATTCTAATCAATATTGCCTAATGCAGTTTGGTATAACTATAATTATAGCTAAAGAAAAAACAAAAGTATATATTGTTCCAAATTTTTGCCTGAACAGTTCTGAGTAAATGATTTCAAAGGATGTTTTCACTGAAAAAGACATTCTGAAAGTGGAGACTCTGCAGACTCCAAAGCCCTAGATTTACATTTAAATAATTGAGTCTTATTCTGTGTATAATATCTCTGATCAAATCATTGGCAAGAAAGCATCAGGATATTTATGATGCTGTCCTTGCTAATACCATTGTTGACATACAACAAAACAGATATGCTGCTGGTTCTTTTATTATTAAATCAGCCATTACACATGTTGGACCAGTTTATGACCATCTACCATCTACTGCAGACTCAAGTAAGCAAGCAGTTTCACAAATGTAAACATGTCTGAATTTACTGAAACATAAGTATTCTTAATGACAAATAAAAATACTAGGGGAAAAAAATGGGCAAGATATAAAACTTTCCCTCAGATAACCATTAAACATAAATTATGCAAAGTTATCTTTGTCTTAAGTTAACAGAAAAATTCTAAAAATTCACTTACTTCAATTATTTCTCTTAAATACACATCAGAGGTTTCTTAATTCAAATGAATGTTTCAAATTTTTTACTATGATCTACCAGTGCTTGTGTTTTTGAATTCTGGGTATGCATCTCAAATACCTTTTGCCACAGCCTTGACCTCTGACCTGCAGTTCTGCTTTGATTAAATGTAGGCTAAACAAAAAACAAAAAAACAAACAAACAAAACAAAACAAAAAAAAACAAACAAACAAACAAACAAAAACAACGAAAAATTGCCTCTCCATTGTAACTAACCCATTGTTAGCTATAAAATTTATTGTGAGAATGCTAATTCATAAATGAAATAAAGAGTAACCTGCTACAAAATGATGTTTCAAAGCAAAGAAAAAATGTATCAGAAAAGAGAAACAAATGTGGAACTACAGCAGAGTTGCCCAGCTAAGGATCCAGGTTCGGGGGATTTGACTTTTTTTGTTCTAGAGTGCTTTGAATTCTGATCTTACAAAAATTATTATGGCTGACCCAGATGGCAAAGTTGAATGGGAACTGACCCAACACTAAAAGAAACAGGAAACAAAGAGGAATCTTACAAGAAAACAATGCTGATGGAAGACTACATTTGGGGTTCTATGAGGTGTGACACTTTGGTGACAAAGCTCATTTTGTTTTGGATTGAAGGTTACTGTGGTTCTATGAAATAAAGACTGTACAGTTTCAAACTTGATTTGCTTGCTTTTCTTTTTGAAATCTAGCTTACTTCATTGAAACTCTGGCTCAGGCATGTATGGTACGAATATGAGACACGAAGTAAAAAAGCCTACTCTCCTTTTGTTCCCCAGTGAATGACACCGTGTCACTCTTTACCAGTGGAAAGCTCTTGCTGTGTGCACTGGACCTGAAGGTAAAATTCCCAGGAATTAACTGAAGCCTGAACTGAGGGTACAGTGTTAACAGGAGGTCATACGTGGGGTTTCCTACATTTTCCACTTCAGCAGGAAAAAGGAAATTTCATATACTACGTATCATGACAGTCAGTCATTTTTCATCCAAAATGTTATTTGGAGGAAAAAACCACATATTTATAGCCTAACTACTCACCTTGAAATATCACTTGGAATTTAGAAATATAGAACATAACACAGTAACTCAAAATTACTTCAGAAATTGAGATTAAAAATAATAATAATCATAGTATTTCCCTGCAAAATATGGAGTCATAATCAAAGAGGATTATTAATTCATTATTTTAATACAAACACTATGGTACCAACTTCACTGTAATTTTCTTAGTCCGTTGTCAGAACTCAAGACTATCCCTTCAGCACATCCTCTCTTTCTCCACTTATTAAAGAAAATGAGAGTCCACAGAAGAGAAACCTGATCTGCAAAGGTTTGGTTTTCCATTTCTCACTTCAGGCAAGTACACCTCATAAGTTGGATTCCTTCACTTCAAACGCATAGACATGTGATCTACTTATCTAGCTTGATTGCATATCAAACTCCACTTACAACACCAAACATCCCAATTTCCCTGAGCACTCTGGTACAGTGCTTAATTACTCCTGTGGGGATATTTTTTCCTTTTATCCAGTCATACCAATTTTTCACAATTCATGATCAGGGTCCTCTGTTCTCCTGCCTGTCTCTCTCTTCCTGTAAGTAAGGATAGGTGGCTGCTAGGGTTTCCCACAACTGTCCCTTCTCCAGGCTCTGCAAACCCAATCCCACAGCCTCTCCTCACTGAGTAAGGTCTCCACACCTTACTGAGCACCTTGGTGACCCCTGAATGCTGTTGTCTGTCAACATCATTCTCGCACTGGGCATCCCCAAACTGGATACATTATGTGAGATATGATCCAAAATAAAGGGGAATAATAAATTCAAATGACCTACTGCCTCTGATTGTGTTGGTACAGCCCAGGATGCTCCCAACCTTTGTTGGTGCCTGGTCACATCGCTGCCATGTGTTTACCAGTTAACAGCAACAAAAGGAAACAGCAAAACTCAGATTTCCTGCATTCCTTTCTTATTTTTCTTTTTAATTTCTGCTGTTTGCAAATGCAACTAAAGTGAACAAAACTACTTTGAACTTCTGAAAATTCAAGGCCCCTATATAATGAAGGTTAGAAGACTAATTAAAAACAACAATCCATTTTCACATACTTATTTTAATTTCAAAACATCCTGTTCTCTCACTCTTTCTTTTTTTTTTTTTTTTCCTTCAGAGTCTTGCTTTCACATTCCCTCAGAACCACAACCTAATTTCTCAAGGTGTGCAAGGAAGGGGTAAAGTGATTTACTGAATTATTATATAATCAGCAACGATCCCATTAAAGAATTCAGCTGATATGATGTTGGGTAAGGTAAGGCATAATCATCAGTTGTAATGTATTATTCCATAATGTGGAAATTAATATATTTTCCTTTTATTTTCTCATGGATACTTGGATAGACATCACCCATACCTAAAGGGTATGAAACACAGCTATAGAGAAAGGTCTGGTTGCCTACAATCAGAACAAATCTGCACTTTTTGTGGAACTCTGAGTATTTGCAGAAAGGTGCCTAAAAACTTGCTCATTACTTCCTGTGGAACACTGGCTGATGAGAATCAGTTTGTTGGTTGGACTTGCTTAGTGGGGTGAGTTTTTCCAACATATATCTTAATAGTATCAATTATAAAAATTTACTGTGTAAAAGAAAGGCATTTTTAAAACTTTGGATTTTATGAAAAAGATGCATATAAGGCTAAAAAAATTATAAAACTTGAAGTGTATTTCACAGTGCCACCATTGTTGCCAGTGCCATAAAAATGTTTGCTGGTCTTTTCTAATTTTTCTTGAAAGCCTTTGACATATTCTTGTAATGCCACAGGCTAAAACTTTGATCTTTGTAAAAAATTTAAACAATACCATACTAACTGGCTACTATAAACCAAATCTTTTTACAACACAAAATATATTTTTAACCATTTTACAGGTTTAAATCCAGGTTTCATGATTATTTTTTTAAAGTTTGGTAACAGCAAATCTTATTACTTCAAATGCTACACAATGATTCATACTAACTTACGTTACTGCTACAACAATGGACCAGTTACGAGTGTGAGGTCAACCCTCCTTCTGTTACATCCTCATGTGAACTTTCAAATAAATTCTATTCAATATTTCTGCTCCTAGTTTGATTCAAGTTTTACTGACATGCTCAAAAATGGGATTAACAGAAGGTATTTTTCAACATGGGATATGATTGCCAAAAGGAAAATTGTATACATTGTTATTTAAATGTCCACCAATCTGCAGATCTTGATAGACAAGTCCTTGCTTTACTTTGCTTTTTCTGCACAGTTTTCATTTATTCCTTACAGAATTGCATCTGACAAACATCATGAAGACACAAATAAATGAAAATAACAAGGAAGGTTATAAAGGTGAAATGTGAGAGTTGATTTGGTGAAACAAAGACATAGAAGATTTTTCAACCAATAGAAGATTCAGCAACCAATACCAACGTAACAGATATACAGTAGAATGATTGGCTTCAAACACCTGATCTTTGTTTTTATGAACTATACAAGCCATTCTGTTTCCTAGGCTACTAAACTTCAGTTGAAAATTGAGGTTGAATAACACAGCTCTGAAAAGTGAGGCTAATTTCTGCTTCACTATTTTACATGAGAATAAACTTCATTACCTGGACCTAGGGATTAGGCAAGGTGCTTGCATTTTTTGTGAGAATCTGTGCAGAATTCAGAATTCAAAGCAAACTATTTAATATGTTTAGGTTCACTTTAGTTCCACTGGTCTGCTTTATAATTACCAAAAGTTCATTCCCGACATTGGACATATCACCAAAAAAAAACCCAAAAAAACCCCAAACAACAACAAAAAAAAAAAAAAAAAAAAAACCCAAACAAAAAAAAAACCAAAAAAAACCAAAAAAAACAACAACAAAAAAAAAAAACAACCCCAAAATACCCACAGAAAACACAAAGGACAATTTTTACGCATAAAATGTCTTAAGTTAAAACATGTGAATTATCTCTTTATTATTAATGCTCCTTTCTTATGACTGCCAATTAACACACACAGTTGTTTCTCTCCTGTACCTACATCTTGGTGTTTTAATGTACAAAAAGTATATGCAAGGTTTTAATAGTGCAATGAAAATATGCTCTTGTGCCCTGAAATTAAAACACTGATTATGTATATTACTTTTCCTACTTTCAGCATCTCTGGGGATCTTTTTGTTGATACACAGTCCAGAAGGGAAATTAGACAACTCAAAGAAAACAACAGGACTTTTGTTTACTTTAACCTGCTGCATGAAGGATTATATTATTATGCAGGTGTTTCATTATTACCTATTCTATTGTTGACTATTAGTTCAGGAAAACAGAGCACTCTTATTTTAAAAATCATGAGAGGGGTTTTATTGTTTATTAAAGTAATATTCTATTCTATTACCCTTTTCAAAGGACATGTTAAATTACCTTATATACGCAGAGAATATTGTGATGAATGTTGTTAATAAAACAACAGAAGAAGTTGAGAACCACTTCCACAGTGATGGTACTTTAAATGAGTAAATTGTTCTTTTCACACACAAGAGTAAGTCTCACAGTAAGGCTCAGTAAGTCTCATATTGCCCTTTCAGAGAATAACTGGATTGAGACAGCAGCTACTTAAACTGACCTGATAAGATCAGTGCAGGTGGTATTTGAGGCTGCTCCTGCAGACTTCTGAAAATGCCCACGGCTCTGTCCCAGGAAGACAAGCACTCCCTTGTGCCAGCACTAGTACTCCTACAGCCATGTGGATCAAACCCCTTCTTCTCCTGGTTAGTTTTCAGACAGATTTAATATAAGGTTAACTCTTATCTGGGAAATTAATTCCAGTTTGCTAATGCTACTCATCCTACAGCACTGAGCAGAGTACTTCCAGCACAAAGAAAGGGGTGGGACTGTTGCTTTCAGTAGCAGCCCACATTTCTGGCTGTCTAAAGGAACTGTGGAGCTGCAGCTCTCCACATCTCTCAAGGTAGATTAAATGCACTTTTGCATTCAGGGGGAACAACAAACTGCTGTTCCCCCACTGAGATCAGTGCCTGACTAAACGAGCATTCCTCTTCTCTGCTGCCTGTTGCAAAGCAAATAGGTAATTTTGAAGGTTTAAACTAATCTGTTTGACTTCATGCTGGAAAAGGAGTGCTGTGGCTGGAGCTGATCTCAGCTGAGAGGCTGCACAAATCAAAGGGCTCAGTGCCTGTCACCTTCACATGCAAGACGCCTGCCCTGGGCAAGGAGGAATCTCAGCAAGGCACAGCCTCTATTTGGGGCCTATGAAAAAAGAAGCTCATGAGTAGGTTTGTTGTGGGGTTCTCTCTTTTCTCTCAACAATAGCATAAGGAAAAGATTTCTGAAAGGAGATGGACTGTTGCTGTTTTACATATGGATTCTGTGAAGGTTGAATTCCCAGTGTAAAAGGTGGTTTTCCTTCCCACTGCTTGATGAATTTGAGAAATTCATAATATTAACACAGTTATAAATGTAAAATTGCATTTAGCTGTTATATGGAAGAGCCTGAGAGGTACAGACTTACCCCACTTCAAATGTTAGCATTACGTTATATTCTCTGGTTGCTGATTCCTATGGAGTGATTTCTACTGTATGGAATAAAGTGTGAAGTTTTTCCAGTAGGAAAATGAAGAACCAGCAGTGTCCACAATGGGATTCAGGCAGGTATTTTTGTATTGGAGTTAACTGCCTGAGAGGGTGCAGCATGCACAGAGACCTAAAGTGATACACATTTGTACATGTCATAAGTTATTAGTAAGATAAGTGGTATAGAGTCCCTCCTGGGGGACAGCAAGGAAAAGGTATTCCTCAGGCTTTTGCTCCTGCAGGCAGAATATCAGCTGCCTTCAGGAAAGACATAGGGTTTTTTGTTTGTTTCACATTTGGAAAAAGAGTATCAGCACAGTTAAAATCTCCTCTTGAGGGTGAGCTCAGCTGTAAAGTCGCCAGTGTCCTAGAGTCTCAAAAGCTCTATGTGCTATAAATAAGTGTAGTGTTATCTACCTACTGGTTGTTTAAATTGCAGTTAAAATCTCAAGTAATCTTACAAACGACTCTACTGAGATGCCAATAAAATTCAAGATCCATATGATTTGTTAAAATAGTTATAGATGGCATCTTAAATACCTTTACACTCCCCTACAGTTCTCTCCTCAGACTATGTCTTTCTTCAAATATTAGTTCTAGTTTGAAGAGACCAAACTGCATGTTGTTTTTTGGGATTTTTTTTTATAATTCATTAAATTACTTTTATCAGGATACCATCTTTTCCTCAAAGTAGAAAGTACCAAATTCTTACCTAAATTACTTCTCTTAATCTCAGCAGTCAGAAAGGAATTTTTCTCTGACCTCTAGGTAATTTTTTACATAACCTTAGGAGAACTCACTAGCTAGAATAATCCTTTTCTCAAATCTCGTTGTGAAATATTTCCTTGTACTCTGGGGCCTTTATTCCACTTATTCCTTCTCCTATAATTCTCTCTCCAGATTTCTATTTGCACATTTATCAACTCTGTTTGATTTCCTGCATTTCCCTCTTTTCCCAAAGATCAGTATGTCCCATGTGTTGTACTCCTGTGTATGTTATGGACACATAATCTGATCAATGCCAGGATTTTAGGTACTTTATTTTTCCCTATGCCTGAGGCACCTTGCTGATCTGTTCCAAACTTCTCTAAAATTTTCAACTTAGCATCAAAACCCTTAACTTCATTGGTGTCTATAGTCTGTAAGCATATGATATAAAATGCATGTATATAAACAGCTTTATCTTGTATGAGGGTGTATGTAACAGATGGTAGCAGTGTTTGTTTGCTGCTGTAAAACTTACTGGGCATGTACTATGTACTGCACTGCTTTAAATGCAAGACAAGCTGGGCAGTATGGAAGAAATCCTCCTGCAGGGTGCTGCCTGCAGAACTGTGCTTTCACTCTGCAGGAAAAAAGCAGACTGCTTGATTCCCCAGAGGACCTGAATTGAAACTTCAGGGTGCAGAGCAGGGCAAATAGACACAACCAACACTGAAGGCAACCAGAAGAGAGCAATCTGCAAGCCTTTGAGTGGAGTTGGGTTGTGCTATCAGCAGTGAGCAGAATGAGGAAGCTGTGGAGAGGCAATCAGATATTTTATGAGCAAGTTTTCTTTTCAAGCTAAAGACAACAGAGGGAAGGAGAGCTTCCTAAGAACCCTGAGGGATATTTTAGAGTTCTTTCAACTAAGAAGACACTGAAAGTCATGAGACCCATAGGGAAGGATGCAGCAAAGGACCAACACACAATCACACAGTAACGAAAGAGAAGATGTTCTTTTACATACTTTTGTTTCATCTGTCTCAGTAGATCTCACTTTTCTATCTCTTAAAAGCCACATTATTCTAGCTTATTAGGTTGTGCTCTAATACATTTAACTTTAAAGACTGGGAATTGTTTGATGTCTTTTGTTACACTCACTAGAAAGGGAAAGGTGGGGGTAGTTCCACTGCAAGGGTCTTGGAAACTCAAGGATCTATCACTGGGGTGAAAAGGTGAGACTGGCAGATGTTAATACTGTATGCATTTTTGATGCACCACAGCTAACAGGTTCAGTCCTCCAGCTGGAGAAAGGCAAAAAATAATCAGTAAAAAGAAAAGCTAATTCCATTCCTTGTAAATTGGAGCATAAATACTGCAGTAGCCTGAATAAAAACAACTTGAGAGACCAAGTAACAGTAATGGTACAACAGTTTTATTCCAGCTATTAGAGAGAGGTTTTTTTTCTGCTCGGTCATTTACTCGCAACTTTTACATGGGTGCCATAAGCAACTCAGGCAGAGCCATCCAAAAAAATAGTGAAACATAACTTCTACATGAGAAATACATAAGCAAAATACTGCAAATTGTGTTGACATATTTATGCAAGACAGATGCTAGCTGCACAGTAGTTGACTTTCTTTAAGTTGATGGACAGAGTAGGACTATAGAAATCCCATCTTCTCTATTCCCTAACACTCCTGTGAGTTAACAGTTGTGAAGTAAAAATTGCTTGGCTTTAGGATTTTACCAAAACACTCATCTATCTCTCCTTTCTGTCTTTGACTCAAGATGCACTTTCATATTACCTCTTTCCAGGAACACCTTCCCCATACACAAAGTTAATTTTGTCCAGCCTTCAAAGGTAGATACCTACCTCCCCTTCATATTCTGTGTTGCCTCCTTCCTTCACCCCCTCTGAGACAGTGGACATCAAGAAACAGTGTTTTCGTCTTGTTTTGGAGTATGTATTTCTTTCCTTTCTACCTCCATTTTACACCACTAAACACAAACTAAAATCTTTATTTCATTGACCTCTAATTTTCATCCTTTCCTGTCTTACACCACACTAACAATTCAGGACTCTAACCTACTTCTCACTGCACCAAGCTGTTCTTCCTTCCTCTTATTTTCCCACCTCAATTCTCTTTTTTGGAGAATGAAAGCAAAAAGCAGGCATGCAAGCATCTCTAAGGGACAAATAATGAATACTTCATTCAATTATAGTCTTCATTCCACACTTCGCACACAGACATGTAACCCTTATGAATCACTTTCGAAATTTTCCAGAGTTACAAAATTTTAAACAGCTTATTGAAATCATCTAGATGGGGATCCCTGTGGCCCAGCCCTTTAAATATCTGATTGCCTCTCCACAGCTTCCTCATTCTCTTTGCCTGGCTACAGCCCAGTATCGCAGGAAAATGCTGTATAATGGGTGATAGAGGTTTCAAATAAAAACATGCAAATCATGCACAATTTGTCTAAATATGCTTAT